GAAATGAAGGAACTTATATAGAACGGATTTCCGTTGGAAATCCGTCACAAAAGTCCGACATAACACCCCACCAATCACATCGGCCACCGCTAACGAAATGGTAACCACTCAAATTTGCCGACATCGAATTTCCGACGGAATTCCGACGGAATAAGTTCCGTCGGTATGCGCTGACCAATCAAACTTTGCCGACATCGAAAAAATCGGATTTCCGTCGGGATTCCGTCGGAAAGTAGTCAGAATATTACGACAGTTTATCTCCGTCGGAAATCCGTCGGTACATTCCGACGGAATACCGACGGTTTTATCTATCGTCGGTATTCCGTCGGAATTAACCGACGGATTTCTGACGGATTAATTTTGGTCGCAATTGCGTCGGTAAACCGTCGAAAAATTCCGACGGAAATCTCGGCMGTCGGAATTTGCGTTGGAAAAGTGGCTGTTTTCTTGTAGTGCTTCCGATGCATGGATGAGCTTGCCCAAAGGTTACGTAGCTAGATCTCAAAGGTGAACACTCTACAAATGTTGTTCCCACCAGAGAAGGTTAGTTTTCTTTCTTTCTCTTCTATTCCCATGCTCAAGCCTTTTGCTTTTACTATTATCGTAGGATAACGGATAACCGTCCAACTAAGGAAACATACAAAGTTCCGGATCTTTAGATGACATGGTAATTTTAAATGGACTACTTTCAGTTAAAGAAGGATCTATTCATTTAATTTCTTTCAAGGATTCGATGGTGTTTTAAATTCAAAGCCATTGTTAAATTATGGAACGTGGCTCACTTGCATTGCTATCATGGCTTATAATTGATGCACATATCGTAAAAACTCTTGTTTGATTGTAACATTAGGCTTTGCTAAAGAAACATGAATCTTGAATGGTGCTCTTGACTGTGAGTATATGGTTTAAAACAACACCGTCTCAAGGTCGTCGGAAACCGTCAAGACATAAAATCATTTTTAATATTTTTGTAGCAATTGCTGGAAGAAGCAATTTGCCTTAATTGATAATTTAGTTTTGGTGACAAAACATAATCAATGTGGACCATTTCTCTGTATAAATAATCTTGTCTTCTTCACTATCTTTTGTTGGAGGCTTCAAAATGGGAATCTCTTACCAATCGGACCAAAAACATTGAACACATATGTATACTGATATGGTAGAATATTTGTTATGTTTCTTATTTCTAACATGTTTTTCGCTTCTAATATCACATCTAATAGTTATATTAGTCCATGTAATAATATCAAAGAAAATAAAAATGTATGACAAAACCGTGTTTATCCAATTCAAAACTACATTTGAAGAGAGTGCCAACTATTTAGTTTTTTTTTTTGTCTTTTATCATTTGAAAGAACCAAAGTTGTAAGTTACTTTTTTCAAAAAAAGTTGTAAGTTACAACTATAAGTCACAAGCAAAAAAAACAAAATCGATATGTCCAACTCACAAAAAACGACAACGATTACTTTGCGAACTCGATTTATCTGAAACACGTAATGAAAAGTAAATTTACTTAAACCAAATTGGGTAGTTTGACAAATTGGGTAGTTTTCGGTGCAACTGTGTAGACATTACAAAACTTGAGAAGGTGAGATCACAAAACGAGGATCTCCAGAAGAAATTGGATGAGGCTAATCAGAAGGTTGCACAAGTAGCATTGATTGTGAACCAGCAAAAGGAGTAGTAGATCCCGACTTTGTTATGTTTTGCGAGGCTTAAACTGTTAATTGAGACTTTGTTATGTTTTGTGTGTGTGTGTTGCATCTATTGGGTTCCCGATACTTTTATGCCCTTTTTTGCTACTTTGTGGGATTAGTTTAAACAATCTACATGAGGCTTTTGTTGATCTTTCTTGTCTTGTTGATCTCTTTACTATCAACATAATATTTACATGATGTATTTACTCATTCTGCTGCAAGCA